AAAAAAAAAAAAAAAGAAATTATTACAATATTACCAGTATTCCAATATTTACATATTTATCTTAGTATGTAGTTTTATTTTGTAACCTATATTTCATGATGCAATATGTAGTACATTCACACAGTAAAAATTCTGGGGCTGAAACTCTCTGTTTCTAGCTCTTTAATTTTTTTCCTCCAACTTCTTTCTCAATTGATAAACTTCTTTTGTCTTTTTTGTTTGTTTGTTTGTTTTGAGAGAGAGTCTCACTTTGTTACCCTCAGTAGTGTGTCATGGAGTCATAGCTCACAGCAACCTCAAACTCCTGGGCTCACATGATCCTCCTGCTGCAGTCTTCTGAACCTTTTTTTTTTCAGAGACAAGAGTCTTACTTTGTCATCCTCAGTAGAGTGATATGGCATCATAGCTCACAGCAACCTCCAGCTCTTTAGCTTAGGTGATTCTCTTGCCTCAGCCTCCCAAGTAGTTGGGACTACAGATGCCTGCCACAATGCCCAGCTATTTTTTTGTGGTAGTGTGGCCGGGGTATATGGGGCCGGTGCCCTACTCACTGAGCCACAGGTACCACCCAGCAAAGACTATTTTTTTAAAAACACATAAACACACGGCAGCGCCTGTGGCTCAAAGGAATAGGGCACTGGCCCCATATGCCGGAGGTGGTGGGTTCAAACCCAGTCCCCAGCCAAAAAAAAAAAAAAAAAAAAAACCAAGCACATAAATACCAAAGTACTGTGTGGTATCCATATTCGTTGCAAAAAAATTGGAATTTTCAAAACATCAAATGAATAACATAAATCAATGGTTATGACTATCATTTTCAACCAATATACAGATTTTCGTTCAAGGTCTAAGTTTTATTTCTACATAACAGTATTCACATGAGTTCCCCATGCCCATTTATTATCAAAACCAGGAGTCTTGAAAGTCAAGCCCAGCTTTGTCTTGATTTCAAAGATAGCACAGCAGCCAGCCTACAACTCTGGGGCTTGGTGCTTGAGTCCTAGAAATCGTGTCTTCCCATGTCATACGACAAATTGTGTCTCCAAAAAATAAGATCAGACTCTAGATTCCTTTGAAATGGTTCTGGTTTCCAAGTATTCCAGCACCATGGGACTCAGACACACTCAAGCACGTTTTCCCTCAACTTCCTAAACCTGCCACTGGGAACCAAACTCGACTACATTTTCAGAGTTCCACGATGGAGGTTTTTTTTTTTTTTTT